GTGAGGGGAGTATGAGGTCAGGTGTTCTCGAGAGCTCCCCTCGGCAAAAGAGGAAAGGAGGAGAAGGGGTGGATGGGGGGTTTCTTCGGAAAACGAAGATAGGGGTGTAGATCTTAGCTAGGTTATTTATAGTGAGTTTGGATCGTTCCGATTGGCTAGCTAATGAGCGTAGATGAGTGGCTGGCTGCAGTCAATCATATCACGTGCTCCTCTCGAAATTAGTTTATGAAACTTCATATCTGGAGCAGTTCAATTAAAAACAAGTAATGTGTATGATTCAGCATAGCTTAAACTTACCTGATATAAAATGAGAACTGCAGAATCGAGCATTTTTAATTAGGTCCTCACTCCATTCAGCTGTTTTGATGGCTATTAGCCAAAGACGTCTGTGGTTGGCATTAAAAGCAGTGTGGTGTATGGTTAAAATAAAGTTTGTCTATTCGATTTTAGCTTCCTACCGCACAACACAACATGTTTGCTATTGCAACTGATCTTTTTTTGCAACCAGTATGGGAAGTTGAACCCATGTGACGTCATGTGTGATGTAGGTTGGTAATTCCCCTATAACCTTATGTGAAAAATGAGAAATGCAAAAATGAGAATCTGTGTCTCATTTTGCAGTCTGCTACTGTCAGCCGGAGGTCGCATTTCGGTCACGCATGCTTTTAGAGCCTTCCGGAATGAATGAAATGCACGGTTTTTCACCAAGGCAATCTGGGCTGTTTTGGTATGTTGAATTATAGTATTTTTATGCTTTTGAAAATTCTAAAACTTACATACAGAACCTTTAATAATGCAACTTGTACATTATAAGATGAACACAAAATGCAATTGATGAGCAGTGGCTTTTGGAGACGTGAGACCATTTTTTTGGGAGAACAGCTGCTCAAGACATTTCTGGGAGGTGCTGAAGCTGAACCACTTTGATGATAAACTTTGGGTAAGGCTTATTTGAATAACTAAAACAACATTTAAAATATTTTATAATATGGTTGGTCTGCGGCTTTGTCCACTCTCATTTTGCCTATTTTGTTATCTCATCATGCGGTGAAACAAAATCACATAACTTTTTTTATGTGCATGCTGGAATTTATGTTTCCATTGTTGTTTGTACATATTTTTTTATGTCAAATATGTTTATGTTAACTGTTGTTTTTTGTGCGTTTTCAAAGTTTATGCAAATCTTGGCATTTCCAATATTTCAAATGTGCATAAAAATATGTGGATGGAAACATGGCTATACTGACAAGAGGTACACAATATTGACAAGAAGTAGAGAGTTTTAAATGGTTTAAAGGTTAGTATTATGGAGTACTGACATTGTGTAATTTGTACATGTCAGATTTATTAAAAGCACTTAATGGAAGTAGAGAACAATATAAAGTAGTGATTTTCTTTGTATATGTTGTTTTTATATAAGCAGGCAGGTGGGCAAACAGAAAGCTTGTTGGTTTGAAACCCTGTTCCTAGAGTTTTTCGTCTGAATTCAGCTGCTGCCCTGGAGCAAAGTACACTGCCTGCTGCGTGTCATGGCCGACCCTGCAATGTCTGCCGCTAGCTGTGTTTGATTATAAATATTTAATCCTAACACAAGTGTGTGTGTGTGTGTGTGTGTGTGTGTGTGTGTGTGTGTGTGTGTGTGTGTGTGTGTGTGTGTGTGTGTGTGTGTGTGTGTGTGTGTGTGTGTGTGTGTATAGAGAGCATGACTACAAGGTTGCATTGTTTTGTGTATGGCAAAACCTAAAGAAAGAGCACTGTCACGAATTACTCACCCTCATGTTTTCTTCAGGCTGTTGTTGTTCCCCAATTAACATTCTGCACATAATTGCTGAAATCTCTATGAGTTCATATCCAGATTTGTAACTGAAGTGTAGGTATATAAAACAGTATAGTGTAAATAAATGATGGCAAAAAAGATTTGAACACAGATAATAATATGATTTATTTTGAGAAAACCGCAATAAAACTGACTTTGAATAGTCCCACATGTACAGGTCTATATTTAATTCTCTATTTATTCCCATCAATAGTTCTGAAACCTTTTCTTTCAAAAAATAATATTACAATGTTTTTCTCTCAAGAAACAAATGCAATTTATTAAATTGTTTATGGAAATAAATTCATTCATGAAATAAATTCATTGACATTTCTGGAACATGTGGGGTCTTAAATCCAAAAATCTAAATTTTAGGCCCTAAAAAGCGAAATATTGAAATATTGTGTTGTAGGTCTTAAATCTTTCTAACAAAGATTTTATTGTCCTTTGTTCATGTATTGCTATGCAATCTGAAAAACCCATACAATCACCAACAATCCATCTCAATAAAACTTAAAACTTTTATTTAAAAGGGTAATTTTTAACTATTTATCATAGTGGTTTAATTATTTTCCTTAAAATAACATTTGTTTAAAAGTGCTCTGTGTATTTACTGCTGAGGACATCGACCTGGACAGATTGTGGACATAGATTTAGTTCATTATAGTTTCTAAAACTTTTAAACATTTGTTCAGTATTTTGTATTTTAAAGAATATTTATGTTGGTTAAAAAATGTATGGACACAAGTAGAGCTTGCTTGTTTTAACACACTATTTAAAATATTTTGCTAAGAAACATCAAAAATATTTTAATTTTGTATTATTAATGAATTAAATTATAATGTTTTTTGATATTGCAAGCAATAATCTTTTCCAACTAAATTGCTTTGTCTTTATGAGTCTAAATTTTCATTTTTTCATTCATTCATTAATTTTCTTTTTGGCTAAGTTTCTTTATTAATCCGGGGTCACCACAGTGGAATGAACGGCCAACTTATCCTGCATATGTTTTACACAGCAGATGCCCTTCCAGCTGCAACCCATTTCTGGGAAACATCCATACATACTCATTCACACTTATACACTATTGGCAATTTAGACTACCCAATTCACCTGTACCGCATGTCTTTGGACTGTGGTGGAAACCGGAGCACCCTGAGGAAACCCACATGAACACAGGGAGAACTACACACAGAAATGCCAACTGATCCAGCCAAGGCTTGAACCAGCAACCTTCTTGCTGGGAGGCAATAGCACTACCTACTGCGCCACTCGTCACCCTAAAATGTAATTTATAGTGGTCTTAAAAATGTCTTTAAAAGTCTTAAATTTACCTTAATGAAACCTGCAGAAACCCTGTATATAAGGAGTTTTAAAAGGTCTATTCTAGACTCTGAATGTATGGGATATTAATGTTAAAGATAATGTGTTACATTAGTTTTGTCCAAGTAATGAAAATCAGACAATTGTTGTTTGCCATTTTAAAATGTACACACTTTCCATTTATACATTTTTTATCAGGTTGTTTTGCGTGTTTTGCCTGTTGTTATGGTTCAGAATTTTTTTACTGCTTTTTTTCCCCCTGCTTGGCAAGAAACAATTAAATGCATTCACCAGGCTGTACCTGTTAATATACAGGTAATTAAGCTCAACAAGTCCCTCTTATTTTGGGCACAATTTTCATAAATTTTGCAGCCTAAAATGATTTTGAGGGTTTCTCAAAATGTTTTGCAAAATGTACGAAATTTCTTGTTGTTTTGCAATTAGAAATATACACAGGATTACATATCTTTGTGATTCAGGATTAGAATAACATAATGCAATCAAAAAGCATGATAAGTGAAGTTTATTTATAAACTAATTTTGAGAGGATCATGTGCTTATTACTAAACACAGTGATGCATTAGCTAATTCATGACTTACCAATCAGACGATTCCTAAGCCACTATAAATACCCTAAGTTCCATATCACAGCCATCTTCGTTTTGAAGAATCCCCCCTTCCACCCCTACTTCTCCTCCAGATGGGTCTCCCATGGTTAGCACTGTTGCCTCACAGCAAGATAGTAACTGGTTCTAGTTCTTACCAAGCCAGCCGACATTTCTGTGCGGAGTTTACATGTTCTCCCCGTACTCATGTGGATTTCCCCAGGCCCCCCAGTTTCCTCCCATCAACCAAAAACGTGCAACTTTAGTTAATTGACTTATCCAAATTGGCATCATAGATGTACTCCTAGTAAGTAGCTATGTCTTAAGAGCAATCCCTATCTATTCATTAGCTATATACAGCAGGGTAGTTTAAAGATCTACCAGAGCTCAAACTCCCCTCTCTCCCTGGGATCGAGGATCTTTTGAGCTCAGAGCTCTCTTTCGGGACAGCAGGCCAAACACTCTTTATAATCAATCATCAAAGTGTGAACTCTTGAAATGGAGAGAAAAAAAAATACAATACAGAAAACTTAGTTCATGATTTTTTTACAGTGTTGCCAAAATTTGAATGAAATCTGTTTTATTTAGCTTTATTGTTGGTGAAGTCAGGAAATTTGACATTTGGCTTAGAGTGGGAAGCTTGTAAATGTTTTTTTTTTTTTTTTTTTTTTTGGTTTGTAAGAGTGTGGACCCAGTTTGTTGTCTTATACTGGCTATCTTATATGAAAGGATACTGAACATTCTATTATTGAACCATAAATAAATATGTTGCACATCGCTTTATTGTTTATATTTTGAGTTAATGTTTTTACAGTTAATATTATGGTGCATTATAATTATTGTACTGATTAATATAATTGTATTATCTCCTTCAAATACCATGACTAATATTTCATGTCATTTTTTACATTTTAGATTTATTAATGAACATTGGCCCATAATGCTAAATGGTCATTTCATTCAAGAAGCTCGTTGTATTGAAATTGCCTAATTACATTTGGTCATTGCAAATCAAATTTAACTTATTAGTCTTGTCCTCAGAGAATTGTTTTCAATCATAAACCCTAATGTAAACAGTTGTTAATAGCCAGCTAAATTGCTCTGAAAAGGCAATTATTTGCATATGACATGGAAATTAATTCAGTGACAAGTAATTAATCAAGACAGCATTTAAACACATTGTCTAGCAATCAACTTCCAAATGATTGGTATTTGGAGTGATTATATTATCTGTAAATGCATACAAACAAAGAAAGTTTTCTACAAATGTGGAGTTTTATTGCAGTGCCGTAAAGCTCATGGACACAGAACCACTTAAAGCTGATATAATACAAGGATTTATTTAATCTATAAAGCAAACTTCAATGAAACAGTCAAGGATTCTGCTTTAACCTGGGTGCAGGTTATCAGCCAGCAGCACGGGCATCTGATCTTCATCCAATAACAGCTTGTGTTTGAGCATTAGACATGGCTTAACCTAGAATTTTTACATACTTATTTACTGATGTGTGTCAAGGTGCTTTTGCAGAATAGGCAAAGGTAACAGGCCAGTTGAAGACAAGAGTTCGCCACTCATGTGTTTATCCCAGACCGCGCTGTCTTCTTGCGGGATGTGTATATTTGTGCATCCAGTGTGGGGGTAGACTTGGGACCGGAAAGAGATGGAGTTGTGTTCAGGTGTTGTTTTATATGACTTAATGGCTATCTTGAGAGTACAAAATGTGGTACAGCTGGTCTTGAAAGATGCCGGCGTAGGTGCCCACAGCACGGACTGTATCGCTATAGATTGTTCTTGAGGGAGGAAAGGCATAAAGTCAGAGGAGTCATGTTTAAGAACATCAAAATGTCATTACTGGCCATGTGTTGTAATGGGAAACAACGAAAGTCAATTTTTTATTTTTATTTTTTTTGATTCATTAGCAATATATATTTATTTAACATCAGTTACCTGTAACTATTGACTTCCACAGAAAAAAAAAAAACTAATAGTATGGAAGTCAGTGGTTACAGGATTCCAACTTTCTTTGAAATATCTTCTTTTGCGTTCAACAGAAGAGAAACAGACAAACCGGTTTGAAACAAGTAAAGGTTGAGTAAATAATGACAATAGTCAAGTAAAATTTTGCAAATGCACAAATTGCAAAAAATTAAGATGCGAGTTAAAAAAATATTTGGTATACATTTAAAGGGTACACAAAAACGTAAAATTAAGGAAGTTTAATCAGCAGAACAAGTGAGTATACAGAGGGTATACATAATCATTTATCATCAGAAGTCGTAATATCCAAACAGCTCATGGAAAAAAGTAGGCATGAAGAGTAGATGTGCATACTACACCACTGGTTCCAACTAAACATTAATGGCAGCCTCCCCCATGTATAACGGTATTTATACGTATTTTAACGGAGTTTAGTTTACATTGAGGAGCTCGCGATTATATTGAAGAATGAGAATTTCTTTATGGCTGAGTTTTTCTCCGTGCTCTTTTCTCTTTCATATGTAGGATATTTAAGAAAAAATCAAGTATGCTTGATAACTTTGTGTATTCACGGTTTGCGATGTGGGTGTGTGCGTCGTCTGTTATTAGTGTCTGACTGTAATTTAATGTAGTATAAAAATGTAATCTGTATTTCATTTTCATAGAACAGTTATATGTAGATGCATTATTTTAAAGCAGTTTAACAATGTAAATGTTTTTATATATATATATATATATATTATATCATCCAATGCGACTACACATGACTTGGCTTATGACCTACTAACTACGATTTGTGTTAAAAACATGTGTTGCAACTGGAGTAAGAACAAATTTATTTACAAACTAGCTAGTAGTTACTAAGCCCCTATTGAAGACTTTACACTCCATCTGGTGCAACCCCTACCCAGAAGTGTTGCTGAAAGAAATATTTGACACTCACATTTTTCATTTTTTTCTTTTTATTTTATTTTTGAGATTACATATAAATACAATTTTTAGAATAAGCTGAATATTTCCACCTGGTGACAGTAAAATAAGACCTGTATAGTAAGTTTCTTTTTAAGAGTTGATTTCAAATTCAAATTTAGACAAACCCTGCCATTAGGTTAAAACAAAACAACAATGGTTGATTTAGATTCATCCATATTGAAACTACCCAGCAGTTTCAGTCATTGCCTGCTTTTATTTTTGTTATTTTTTGTCAAGTGTTTTGATATTTTCCCTCTCTATTGTTAATAATAATGATAATTCCTTTTAGCTCTTTTCTTGACACTCAAAGCTCTTTACACAATGGCAGAAATCTCCTCATCCTTTACCAAGCGCATTCCACCTGCTGATTGGTGGTGAGAAGACAGAGTGACGAAGCCAATTATAATATGGGGATGGTTAGAAGACCATGATGGACAGAATCCAGGACATGCCAGAGTTAAACCCCTGCTTTTTTGTTTGAAGGACATCCTGGGATTTTTAATGACCACAGAGAGTCAGTACCTCGGTTTAAAGTCTCATTCAAAAGTTAGCACTCACTGAGCAGCATAGAGTCCCCATCAATTTACTGGGGTGTTAGGACCCACACAGACTGCAGGTTAAGCACCCCCTTCGGGCCTCACTAACACCAATTCAGGCATTATGTGGTCTACCATCCAGGTCTGACCAGGCACAGCTCTGCTTAGCTTCAGTGGGCAACCATGTAAGAGTTGCAGAGAGCTAGCTGCCAGCTAATGTTGACTGCTTTGTGGCTGAATTACTGATATCTTTCTTGGTGTTTCAGATAATCCAGTTCTTGTGTCAGCCATTTAATGCTGCTTTTATCTGCTTTGTTGCTTTGTCTGCTTTGTTGCTTTGTTCTGCTTTTTGTAAATGTTATATTTTTTGTACATATTTTATCCTATTACATATGCATTTTCTAATTATTTTTTTATTTGAAAAAAAAACAAGTGACAATTTTGTTTTACCACCAACATATACAATTAGACTTACTTGGCTTTCTCTTCCAGCTTGTAGCCCTTGATGGTCTCTACATATCCACTGGCAGTGTCCACACTCTGGTCATAGTAGGATTTCAGGGTGTCGACCACAACAGCGATGGTTCCCTTCTCATCCTCAGCCTGCCTGGGAACACGAAAGCTCTCCGCTCCTGCACACCCGAAAAAATGTATCAGAGATGAGTCCTTCTTCATTCTAAATCACATGTGCTGCATTACAAATCGCATACTCTCTTAAGTAGGGACTATTTTTAATAAGCTTAAACTATGCGACCACTAAAAGTATATATAAATGGATGTACTGCAGCTGATGTGTAGAGATGGAGGTTCTTTTTGCTTCCTTTTTGAGTTCAAACTACTTTTTTTCTTTTGTCACATATTGTCTTTTACCTACTGTTGAAATAGTAGGAAAGTAGATGTGATTTCGGATCCAGCCATAGTCACTTCACTGTATTGCCCAATTAGCAAATAGTGCAGACTTAATTAGGTAACACTTTATTTTGATGGTCCATTTGAGTATTATTAGACTGTCTGGGTAATATCTGCTGATACTGCTCCTTCAACAGACATTTAACTGACTATAAGAAATTTTGCAAGTACATGTCAACCTACACTAACCCCAACCTAACAGTCTACTTATAATCTAATGAGAAATAGTTGGCATGTAGATGCAATGTAACTTAAATTTAACAAACAGACCATCAAAATAAAGTGTGACCCATAACTGTAATCAAAGCAATATTTAAAAAAAAAAAAAAAATATATATATATATATATATATATATATATATATATATATATATATATATATATATATATATATATATATTTATCACTATAAACAAAAAGTACTCAAAGCCCAAAGTAAAAAAAAAAATGCACAGTTGAACACAGCACTTCAAAGTATACTCTATTTGTACATAGCTAGGTACAAATAGAGGCACTCAACAAGCACACACTAGATAGGTTATTTTTCATCCAATCCCCTGACACCGTACTGGCTCTACCCAACAAGTGTAATACTGTAAGTGATTGCATAAGACCTCATGGCCACCAGGGGGCTCACGCTGTGATTTCAGACAGCATTAAAGGTAATAATAATCATAAAAGTTGATTATAACGAGTCACAAAAAATTTTAATTTTCCTTTTGTTTGCTTTGTTTTTTTTTTTAGATATAAATTCATGAATAATTCGAGATGTTCATCAGAGTTGTTTAGATGTTTTTAGAATCCATATCATCTTAGTTTATGTCATGTTATGTTGCAATTTGCTGTATAAAATCTCATTTTCTGAAGTGATCGGAACAAAAGCAGGAGACGGGTGAATGTCACTCTCTGATAGAAACTTGTGCTTGAGTCTGTAGTTAAAGCAACATTGTGCCAGTGCAAATTTGCATGTCAAGAAAGGATTTCAGATTAATGTATTCAAATACAAAAGCGTTTTTTACACTTATGGTTGATATAATATTTTAATCTAGACGAAATTTTGGTAGGTGAAATTGTAGATAGTGGGGTCACTTTTAAAATTTGCCTTGTATCTTGAGAATGGTGGGTCAGACCCTACCCTTGCATATACACTTGTCAACATAAACTTCTGTACTTTTGGGTTCTTCTGTCATATGTTGTTGTTGCTGTACACATGGTACAGAATTATAATGGTTGCATTACACTCACTGTATGCAGACTCTCTGAATTGTATGTTGGTCTTAAAGGTGCCATATGTAAGTTTTTGATTCTCCCAAAACAGCGGTGTCCAAACTCAGTCCTGGAGGGCCAGTGTCCTGCATAATTTAGCTCCAACTTCCTTCAAAACACCTGCCTGAAAGTTTCTAGTATACCTAGAAAGAGCTTTATTAGCTGTATCAGGTTTGTTTAATTGGGGTTTGAACTAAAATTTGCTGGACACCGGCCCTCCAGAACTGAGTTTGGACACCCCTGTCCTAAAGCATAACAATACCATAATATGTTTGCAGATATTTAAGAAACATGCTAAATAAACACACTTGTTTATCTGAAAACTATGCAAAAGTCAGATATTCTGCTTTGAAAATGTCCATTACTTGCTGGAACGCTGTATTTGTTTTGGTTCTTTTAACTCGCCAAATGCCAGTTTAGCCAATTATATTTCAGCACCCTGTGTTGCCTCGGTGGAAAACAGCATATTTCATTCATTCCGTCAGTAAGGCTCTCAAAGCATGCATCTGTGACCAATATGTTACCTCTAGTAGACAGTAGCAGACTCCAAAATGAGACACAGATTTAGTGTTGGTTGGTAACATGAGGTTATCTAATAATGCGAACAGTACGAGCGTAAACATTAGGTGAGCAGGTTACGTTGTGTCCTAACAACAATCTACGTGGCAAGGTTTGCAGTGATAAGCAATTTGGCTGTTTGCACCAGACGAAACATGACAGAAATTTTAATACAGCCATTCAGAAGCACAGAATATGCACTCACGCACAAAATGGTAAGGTTTATAATCTAATGAATACAACTCTCTTTAACAATAAATGTAGATGCTAAATTGCTTATAGGCTAGCTTATGTGTAGTTTTTGAGTCACAGATCTAAAGTTAAATTATACTCGGTTTAACAATTGTTTATTTTATTTCAAGATCTGAGGTGAACTGTCTGCTGCTGATTTTAGTATGGCAATAAATGTCATGTAAAATGCCATTCAAACTCACGTTGTTAGCAGTGTTAACCACAGTGTTAACCACACTAATATATATAAGTATATATATATATATAGATTGAAGAATGCTGAAACTATTAAGCACTGGTTTATATGCAAGTCAGTGATTTCTGGTTTCCAAGATTCTTCAAAATATATTATTTTGTGTCCAATGGTAGAAAGAAACAGGTCTGAACCAAGTATAGTACATGGTGAGAAAATTAGGATATTATTTTAGTTTAGTTTATTTTACATTTTAATTTCTTTAAAATGGATGTTGTAACTGCTTTCAATAAACAGGTTGGTCAAACACCAATGAATGAATGAATGAATGAATGAATGAATGAATGAATGAATGAATGAAACTGTGGCTGGTTAACCAGCTAACATCTAGCTAAATGAGCTAAAGCAGAATTCCTTGCAACGAAAAAGAGCAAAATACATAATTTCACACTTCATGAGGAGCTACATTCAGTTTCATTATTGCTTCTTAGTGTATGACCTTTGAAACAAGGCAAAATATTACATTTAATAATTAAATAAGTAATAATTTAATTATAAAGTTAGTTTGTTCATGTTTATGTGTGTGTGTACATACCCAGTGCAAGGAAAGCAACAAAAACCGTGATAGCCAGTATCTTGTTCATAATGGCAGGAAGCTGTGAAGGATTTAATAAAGCTCTGGTCATATAATGATGCAAATAAAATATGGCAGAACTTTACTGACTATGATGCTCATTTTTGTAAATAAGTTATTAGAATTATTAAAACAAAAAAGTAAATAAGCCATGTTGTTCTCTGCAAATGCATAGCCTATTTCTTTGTATCTTTGTGATATATTTGTACGTTCCTGTATCATGCATTTTAAAAAAATCCAGGAATGCCAAACAGTCAATAATTAATGTGTCCTATTATATGAAAATATTTTGTCATGCCATTTAATGGGAAAATTGAGTGGGAAAATATGGCTGTACTCACAGTTTCTCCTCTGTGGAAAGTGTGTCAGACGAATTAGCGGCAAAACTATTTGCTCTATCTCTCTTATATATGGGTGCAGATTTATTGACCTGATAATCCAAGTGCTAAAGTGCAACCCCCTCAGATAAATGTTATGTGTAGGTGCTTTTTGCTGGGGCTTGTTGTAAGATAAGAAAACTAAAATGAGATTACCTGTTTAAAAGGGAATGCTCTTTACCTAAATACACAAATTGACTGATCACATTAATCAAACCTGCTGGCCTTGATCAGCTCTTATAAATAAGGAAAGCTCATATCCGACCCATTTAAAATGATAAAACACTACTGTAGCCCATCCACCGGCAGACAGCGAAATGGTCACAGGCTTTTTTTTTTCTTGCGTAACTGAACTTCAACACATTTCCAAAGAAAGTCCTAAGTCTGTTTCACTTTAGACACGTCAGCCAGGCTACTTCAGGTTATTGGTGTAAAATTTGTGTTTGTACTTGTATATCTAAATCTTTATTTGTGTCTGTACAGAGTGGGATGTTTTTGGCTTTGTAAAATCAATATGACGACCAGCATGAATTGGGTTGTATGATATCAGATGTTTTGATGTTTGTGAACAACCCTGTTTTCCAGCTTTCCATTTCAAGATGGAAGGACCAGATAAAAAGTTGGTTGGTTGGTCCTACCAGACAGAAGGTAGTCAAGCTTCTTTTTCATTCTTTTTTGTAACACTGTGGCTGGTTAAGGGTTGTAAGTCACTGATCACATTTGATTGCCTAACAAGATTGCATAAGAAACTGAATCAACGGCCCCTTGGTATTACTTTGTACTCAAGTGTTTATTCAAACAACATCCATTCAATGGAGTCATGTTAAGGAGGAGCATATTCAAATTTACGTGCACTTGTGATATCATGTCACTCCATATTTGAATAAGTCTCTTTTTGCATTAATTAATACTTAATCTATAATTCCCTCTATGTTTTCAACTACGAAAATTGGAACAAATATCTCTCCAAAAATCAAGGCAAATTGTACTTTTTCCAAGTCAGTGTCCCTGTAACTTCATAAACAAACTAGTTGTTGAATTTCATAAATGTTACATGTTACAATTTTTAGAGCAGTTGTCACTTCAATAAATTTACATTAGTAAAAATCCCATAAATCAACACTCCACCGAAATGAATCACTCCACCAAAAACTAAAACAGCTTGAGTCTACTCTAGAATTCCTGCACTGTATTTTTTTAAGCTGAATCAAATTGACCTTAAGAGTCAATTTAACTTATATTATTTAAACTGACTTAAAAGAGCTTGCGTAATTTATAAAATTAAGTTAGATGATTAACTTAGTTTAATAAGTTATAATGACCTAAAAACTTATGCTGTTAGGACTAATTGATCCTATAATTTTTTGCAGTGTGCTTGTGGCTGAAAAAGGCAGCTATTATTAACTGGTTAAAGGACCTGTCCCTTAAAAGCAGATAATTTCAGAAAAGAGTTTAGGATCTTTCAGCATACATGTGTTATTTTGGGCGAAAATAAAAAATAAACAACAGAAATCATTATAGATAAGACGTTTAAGGGCACAAATACAGTGTTATTCTTATTAGTGACAACCACATTTATCTATGGAAATTAATTGTGTGTAAAGAACACACAACTTTTTTTTTTTTTTTTTTGCAGTCACAGTAACATTAAGGCTTCTAATGCCTTTGATATCCACTATTTTTAGTTTAATATTGCATAACCCTTTATTTTCTGCAATTTGAACTAAACCACAGAAAACAGAGAAGGCTCTTGAAGACATCTAGAGCATCTTACGGCTTGTTGTTTATGCTTAGTTCATAAATTGATCAAGTTTATGTAGTAATTTGAGAAGCACAGAAATGTGAAATGGTCTTTAACAAACATTAATCATTACAACACTTGGCATTTTAATTGGTCAGACTGTTGAATGACAGGTTTTTAGGACTTCAGACTCATCATGATGAGTTTTAATCAAATCATCTTGGAAGGGTTGCCATGTCCTCTTACTATATATATCATTTAAATAAAATTTAAATAAGATAAATTAAATAACATAAATATATGTAGCTGCTCATTTTTATCTAAATTCTGAAAAATGAATGTTATAACTGTGTGCTATAAAGTGATTTTAATTTTTATTTTTTTTATTCCATTACACAAAAAAACAAAGAATTTTAAATTTCTGGTAAATCTGAGTTCTTATAATTTATCGCATTTGTGGGAGATTAACTCTCTGTGGAACAAGATTCAAGTTTTAAATGCAGTTGTTAAATCTTTAGAGTGCGTGTTTATGAACCTGAGCAGGTGGCTGCTATTGAGAAACCACCAAAACTATAACCATTGCAGATAAAACCCTCCTGTTGCACACTTGGGGACATTATTTCATTAAAAAAGAACAAATGAAAAAAATAAATAAATAAAAATTAGTAAGAACACTTAAACAGATTTAATTTATTGCCAAATGAGGTAACGATACATAAAATACACAACTTAAAAGATTAGACTTTTAAAAACATAAAATGCATTTATTAAAATACAATATTAGAAATGGTCTTGTATTATATAAGCAGGGACAAAGTGCAAGCACAGATACATCATTCTGTTTTTTTAGCTATGAGCAAGATCGTGATTATTGTTGTTCTGCTGTCTCCATCAAGTTGTTTTCGGGCGAAGTCGTGTCCCATCAATAATAGCTCATCTCTATATATACAGGGCTTGACATTAACTTTTTTGATCACCAGCCACTGTGGCTAGTAGATTTCCAACGTTACTAGCCACTCGCCATTTTCACTAGCCACACTTTTCCTGTTGGGAAAATATATTTTATATGCATAAATTTGACTTTGACATGGTCAAATGACTTGATTTAGATGTTGTGTTATGTCCACATGCCTTCTCATTCATTTAACGTCTTGTGTGTATTGTGTATGAGCTTGCTCAGTGTGCATGAGCAAATGGGTTGGGTCTCAATTCAATCAGTTTTTATTTCATGACTTTTTAGGGTTCAAAATTAAGGATTTAACAAATATATCTCTGAACACAAATAAGTATTTATTAGCCACAATTTTTTGCGTGTGTGTGTGTATATATATATATATATATATATATATATATATATATATATATATATATATATATATATATATATATTCTAACCGAAATAAAACAAATAAGACTTTCTCCAGAAGAAAAAATATTATCAGACATACTGTGAAAATGTCCTTGCTCTGTTAAACATCATTTGGGAAATAATTGGGGGCTAATAATTCTGACTTTATCTGTATATACAGTAACATTTGAAGTGGTTTTGAACCCCCCATCAAAGTTGTCCCATATAAACTTTATTGAAAAACATCTATTTTTCTAGTTTTGGAATAATTAATATAATTTGCCTTCATGTTTTTTCTAATCACATTGAGTTTGACTTGGGCTGAAACGTTTCTATGTGTTCTGCATTTCACTTGTTTTGCACAGGAAAATGACTGATTCAGATTCAAGACACAACCAAACAAATTATCAATAACGAATCGTGTAATCCCTGTTTACTTCATTTGCTATGTGCTTTTTGTGCAATTTTTTAAAAAGAAAAACCACATTTAATGATTTTTTACTAAACAGTTGAATACTTTAACATGCAGTGTTTTTCTTTTCCCAGCATAACATGTTACTTCAGTTTTAAATGGTTTAATTAAGTTTGTTTGGCCTTTAAAAAGGGGTTTGTATTTGCGCTGGAAATCCTTGATTATGCTTGAATTTTAATCTAGTGTTGTCAAGGTATGAAAAGTGCTTAGATTTTGAATAAAGTGCTTGCAAATGTAATTGGGTTGCTTTCATAATAATTATCTTACCAAATAGGTAATACTAGTTAAAAAAAATCATAGATATTTATAAGTGAACAATGCAAAAAAATAGAATAAATATGAATTTAAAATGGAAGATGACATTTCAGATGTGAGTGATTGGCATTTAGGAGAGTAAATTACAGCAATTTAATGTTGGGCTTGGGGAAAACTTGCCATGACAAATGTTCCTCTATACTACAGAATTAACAAATAACATATGCTATGTAAATACGTAATTTGCCACACTTGTAAAGTGCTGGAAAAGATTGAAAATGCATCTAAAAATACTTTTTTTATTTGACTGGAAAAGAACCCTGTTGAAAGCTAATATTGTGCGAAAGTACTCTCCAGGCTACATGTTTGGCCACTACTTTACATTAAAGATTACAAATTAAGTTCATGTCAGGCTAGAGAGAAACTTTGGAGCTCAGCATTGTAAGAGTTTAATGCGCTTGAGAATGCTGACCTTTCTGTGTTAAACCTCTAAATGATGCTGTTTTTTAAGGACCCATGTTTTACTGTACTTTTTCATTGATACACGTTTGAGCCTATGCATTTGTCATAATCACACTCAAAAGCAGGCTTTGCAATATCAAGAGGCTTTTTTATTTTGTATGAGTCTTGCTTTTTCTTCATGAGGAACACAAAATCACATAATTCAAACTCTATTAATGCTGGACGGGATGTTATTTTCCTGCTCTGAACAGGACAGTATCAAAGACACAGATACAGTATATACATGCAAAAACTAACTGTACTGACATAACGAATGGACACACAGCTGTCAGATTGGTATCCATAATTAAAGTAATGAAAATACATGGTTGAGGGAGTCAACAAGACTCTTAATTTCCCTGGGGCAGTACGGTGTCCAGCACGGGCTTGACGTTGTTGATGGCACTGTCCAGGTACGCACCAACATAGGGTCTGAAGTAATGGCCGTAAACACCGAGAGCATTCAGGCGAGCTTTGTCCACAACTGGTTCGAGTTCAGAGGCCAAACCACTGGAAGAAGTTCACAAAATAAGCAAGTTTACACTCACACGAACAAAAAACTTGAATGATTTTTTAATGGAATATTCACTGTACGGTATCCCTTACCCAGCGATTTTGATGAAGCTCTCCACTCTTGGGCTTTTCTTCAGTTCCTCAACAACATCCTTCAGACTGCCTGCTGTTGGTGAGCCCTCTAGTGCTGGCTCAACTGCAGTTTTGATCTTTTCCCAAGCATTGACAAGCCTCTTGATGAAAACTGTCCTCAGTCCGTCATATTTATCCACTAACTCCTTGTCAGGAACGGGCCATTCCTGTGCCCAGACACACACTGACACTGCAAGAGAAGAAGAAATTCTTAAGAATGGGATTAAACAGCCTGTTTTGTCCATATTTAAGGAAGACTTCCTAGCATCTAAAGTCTTGTTTTTTTTGTGGAGACATGAGAAACAGACTGCAGGAATAAAGTATTTGTGTGGTTAGTAAACTCTTAGTAGTAAAACACAACTAAATGGTGACATGTACAGCTGATTTGATCACTTTAGATCAATTTAATCCACTTAAAACTGAACATTTTTTTTCCTGAGTAGCTAATAAAGATGAACAGTAGTGCACCAGTTAACAAGAAGACCAGAACTATTTTTTACCTTGGAGTGCAAGAATGAGAGCGAATGTCAGCTTCATCTAGGAGAGAAGATAGACATTCAGAACATATGTAAATATCACCAGTTTTTGACATTATTTAAAACATGCACAAACCAAATATTCAAATGTACACGTTTTGTATTGCAGAAGTTCTAACGTATGCAGTTTTTGCATTTTCAATAAAAAAAGAAATGCATTTTTCTAAAGGAAGGGTTACCGTACATTGTTAGTAAGTGTACAAAAAGTGAGACTTGCTTTACCTTGTGCTAGTGAGATTCCTGTAGAGAGAAATAAAGGACTGAGTCAACTGCACCAGCTGAGTCTGCAGTTATATTGTGTGCCGGCCATCCCTATATCTGCCTGACCGCTTGACCAAACAAACGTCATCACACACACACACTCAATAATTCACAATCAGTCACACACACAGACACCCACGCGAATGGACCTACAAGGCAAACATGGATTGTCCACTCAAAGTCCACAGTTCCCAAATGTGTGCATTATTAAGGCATGCAAGGATTCTTATGAAATCACAAATAGAATATATGAATGTGCTCTTAAACATGAAAGATGCATTAATCATACAGTTGTGCAGGCACTTTTATGCAGAACTACTTTTGCATTGAAGACAAGGACTCCAAATGTCATGATTCATGCCTATAATATTAAATTATTCATATTTTTTATGGTACACTGTAAAAAAAAAATCAGTTATATTAATTTTTTTCTGGCAGGTGACGTGCTGGGAAAAAACTTAAATTAACAGGTGTTAAATTACAAAAATTACCATAAAACAGAAGACGTTTTATTACAGAAATGTACAGTAATTCAATTTGGCAGAAAATTTTTATAATTTAATGTCCCTTATTTTACAGTGTTTTACGGCTGCTATTTTACAGGTTTTTGCTGGAAAAAAGTAAAATAATAGATTTTTTTACATAATACATGTATGAGGTCCAATTTTACTATTAAATTGTGCAAAAGCCATATATTTGACTTTTTTTTTTTTTTTTCCTGTGGTACTGGAGTCAAAATCATACATTAATAAAAATATTATCCAGAAACTATTTACTATTTAAATCTTTTATTGTTTTATTGACCTTTTTACCTATTAATCATGATTTTAGATATATAAACTTTAAAATGAACATTTCATTGTTTATTTAATATACTTTTTTTACGTAGCACTTTTTTACAGACACTTTAATATCTGAATTGTTTTTCTTATTTTTTATTTATTTATTTATTTGTTTATTTTTAAAAATAAATGTTAACTGAAAGCAGTAAAATGTATATCAAAGTTTTTATTTTATTACACAAATACAGTTGCAATCAGAATTATTAAACCCCTATAAAACCCGAATTATAAGCCCTCCTATTTATTTTTTTCTCTAATTTCTGTTTAAAGAAGATTTTTTCAGCACATTTCTAAACATTATAGTTTTAATAACTCATTTCAAATCACTGATTTTTTTTATCTTTGCCATGATGACAGTAAATAATATTTTACTAAATATTTTTCAGTACACTTTCATACAGCCTAAAGTGACATTTAAAGGCTTAACTAGGTTAATTAGGTTAACTAGGCAGGTTAGGGTAATTAGGTAAGTTATTGTATAACGGTGATTTGTTCTGTCGACTATCGAAAAAATATAGATTAAAGGGGCTATTTATTTTGACCTTAAATAAAAAACTGCTTTTATTCTAGCCAAAATAAAGCAAATAAGACTTTCTCCAGAAAAACAAATATTATCAGACATACTGTTTCCCCATGTTATTTTTATGTTTACTCTTTTTTTGTGAATTAAAATGTATTCAAACCTTTGTAATAAAATTCCAAAAGGACACAGCAAAATCACCAAAACTTTCCAAAAGTTTGCTGATTGCACTCAGACAGTCGTTTCATTTTTCTTGCAAACGTTCCAGAATCAATATTCCTGACTTTAATGTACATAAACTAATGAGGGTTAAGCAAAGGCTGTCCAAAGGTTGTAAAAAAGCTTTCCACATGCCTGATTGACAGAAGCAGACCCAGTGAACTTTCCTCTTTGGATGTAAACGTGTCTAATCTGCAAACTGTGGACTTTTTCTATTTCTCTTACTTCATTTAGGATTTATAATTTTCATTTTGTTAATTTCCAAGATGTTTATTAGTTAAAAGGAAACATGAAATTTTTTTAAGGAAATTTATTCGTATTATAACACATATTCATTCATACATTGTGTACTTTACATTGTGCACTGTGTTTAGTGGAATACGTACATTGGAGGAATGATTTAATTTGATCATTTCAAAATATCGGTATACAGAATTAATTTCTCAATATCTGTTCTGTTTATTCATCTGAATCTGATCCAAGAGTAGGCAATCTGTTTTTCAGTCTTTGCCACAGGGAACTTGTACTGTCTTTGGCCCAATCCATGTAAGAGTCGGTAACGGGTTTTAGATGATCCTCATAGTACATGCCAGCATAACCAGCCACTGTCTTGCCAACATCTAGAACTTTAGCCTTTGTGCCTCTGTAACACAAAAACAAACACTGGCGGAAAACAAAATATAGAACACCACGTTCAAATACTAAACGAATGTATGTATTTATTGGTTTACACTTTTACACATTTAATATTCTTGTTTAGACATTCTGTCGACTGTTCATATCACTGCAACTACATTTCAGTTTACTCTAGTAAAGCATTGATTTATTTTCATGTGAGGATTAGTAGGATAGTCTGACAGTCAAAATAAAGCTTTAGCAGGTAGTAGTTAGCAGACAATTTAATGCTAGTTGATGTTGTTGCAAAATGAGCCAATGTATTACATTTGGTCCGAATGGATTACATTTAACAGCAATGTTTTGGGTTGTACCTGTACAACTGCTTTGCTCTTTCAAGAAGACCTGCATTGTCTGGAGCTGTAGTTGGCAACGGGTTGGACAAGGTCAAGCAAGCTAAGAGGCATAGATTTACATAAAAAATCTTCAGTCTTTCATAACAAAAGCAGCGATTAATGTGTATATGCATAAAGCCAGACCTTGCAATGTCACAAACAGAACAAGGAGCACCAATCTGGACATCTAGTAGAACAATTGATTTCATTAATCAGTTTGCAATCATGGATTAAGAATCGATTACATATTTACTTTAACATGTATAGTAAATGTGTACCTTTAGAAGTGCAGGTGTAGGAGTAAATCTGAAGAGGAACGTCAGCCAGACCTTTGTCGAACTTACTGTTGTTTTTCAGAGGTTTTTGGGATCCGGTTCAGTGTTTGCGTGAGTGTGGGGATTTTGTGTAGCAATGCTGGATTTGAGTGCGTTCCCATCCTAAATAAACAGATCACTGACCATTTCTGAGTAAAGACACTGTCTTCTGTTTTATTAGATGAAGCGCAAGAGCAATCATTTACTGGATATTTTGTGGACTAATTAATAAATGTTTTTCAAAAGTTACAATGAGATATTATAGCAGTTGTTTTTTTGCCGTATTGTTTGTGGGATGGGCAGCATGGTGGCGCAGTGGGTAACTTTGTCGCCTCACAGCAAGGAATTTGCTGGTTCAAGCCCTGCCTGGGTCAGTTAGCAATTCTCTGTGGAGTTTGCATGTTCTCTCTGTGTTCACGTTGGTTTCCTCCGAGTGCTCTGGTTTCCCCCACAAATTCAAAGACATGAGCTATAGGTAAATTGTCAATACACAATAGTGTATGTGCATAAATTAGAGTGTTTTCCAGTGATGAGATGCAACTGGTAGGGCATCTGCTCTTTGTTGGCAGTTCATTCCGCTGTGGTGACCCCTGACTAATATAGGGACTAAGCCGAAAAAAATGAATGAATGAAAGTTTCTGGGGTGTTGACTTAAAGATGTGGTCAGTAAACAACTTTACTTCTCTATAAACTTTTCCTGATTTTTTTTTCTTTTAACTGGAATTAGCAGCTTTAATAAATAAGCTTATACACACACACACACACACACACACACACACACACACACACACACACACACACACACATACAGAACCCTATTGCGTTTGTTTTCATTGTTTCCATTTTCTTCAGTCAGACTTCAGTGAAAGGCACACATCTTACGTGTTTTGTTTTAGTTCATAACTAATAAATCATGGGAGCAAGTATCAGTCCTAATAGTTCTTATAAAGCCTTCATTGGGGTTCCTATGGGTTGTTCATCCCCCATCCCCAACCCCCACAAATTTATGATAAAATTTGATTACCTGATTAAAATGCAGGCTAATACAACATGTGTATGCTTGGTGAACCAATCAACATCTATAAACATAAATGCAGTAGAGGACAAAATTATTAGCCTTCCTGTATTTGTTTGTTTTTGTTTTTTTTTTGTGATGTTTAACAGAGTAAGATAATTTTTCACATTATTTACTTAAATATTTTTTTTCTGGAGAGTATTTCTTTGAGTTTGGCTAGAATACATTTTTAATGTAAAATCTGGTAAGAACAACATTAGCGCCATCAAAAATGTATACTTTCTGATGGGCTACAGAGCAATCCACTGATAACCAATGACTCGCCTAATTAACCTTACTTGCCTAGTTAACCTAATTAGTTGAGCATTTTAATTGTCCTTTTAACTTAATAATAGTATCTTGCAAAATAACTAGCAAATTATTGTGTACACTCTCAAAACTAAGGTAAGCTGTCACTGGGGTGGTACCTTTTCAAAGGGTACCAATTTGTACCTAAAAGATCAATAATAATTGTCAGAAGTGCATATTAGTACCTAAAAAGTACAAAAGTGCTCCTCCTAAAATTTTAAGGTACTAATCTATACTTTTAAGGTACCGATATGTACATTTAAGTACAAATGTGTGTCTTTTGAAAAGGTACCACCCCAGTGACAGCTCGCGTACCTTTATTTCCAAAAGTGTATCATGGCGAAGACAAAAATTAGTTATTAAAAAGTATTGTTTAAAAATGTTTTGGAAAATAATCTTTTTTTATAAAAATGCCTTTAACTGTATGCACACACACACACACACACAGGCACAATAACACAAATAAGATATTTCAACCTTGATCCATTGAAGCACTGAACAGAAAAACAAGTTTACATTTGTTTCATTCAGGCCAGAAAAATCCAACAGTGGGATGCAATTCAAGGAAAAGGGGTCATGCAGTTACTCAGTCCACCTGACTTCTGAACTTGATATTAATGATGAGAATTTGCTGATCATTAACCAAAAATAAATAGTGACTTTAGCCCAGTGTGGTCTGATGGTAGAAGTCTTTTGACCTGTGATATTAAATTTGCATGGTAGATTATATAATATTTATTGACCCATTCTTTATTGATTTGTGTCTTTTTGTTGCTGATATGGCTTCTTGTATAAAAGTGTGTGTGCGCGTGTGTGTGTGTGTGTGTCTGTGTGTGTATTGCTTTTGTCTGTTATTGCTTTTGCACTGAACTTATGTATAAGTTATTTAACATATCCTATTTCCACATTGCAGAATGATGTGAGAAAAAAAATGAATTCAGATCATTCAGTGCTCGTTTGTTTGATGATGAATGTGAGAGTTATAGACCTTGGGAATTAAGCAACAACAAATGGGTTATTTTTCCACTGTTTATTCTTTTGAAAAGGAAAATCTGCATGTATTTTTTATCTCATTTTTTCTTATTTTACAGCATCCCACAAAATTAACTATTTTACACATTACACAAATGACAAGCAGATCATCACAGTGTGACTTTGTATTGGTCTGTAACAAATGTGCCAGTCGGCTCAACAGTTTTGAGGTGATATCACAAAACACAAGGTAATTGGGGGTGTAAGGTAAATGGGGCTTGATTTTTCATTTTTTTTAATTGAAGGTTTCAGTCATCTTTTGCTTCAGCTTCTCATATTGATCGTTAAACCAGTTCCTGCCACAACAAAAACATCATGTTAGAAAAGTTCATTAAAAATGTGTAGCAGCTTCTGTCAATACATCTTAATGATAATTGTTTAAAAATAAATATAATGTCAGGTGAAAATATACTATTATTATAGTATTATTGTGATCCTCTTACCTGGTTTTGGTACCAAGCTCGCTCTGTTCAATGTTCTGGAAGGCGGTTTTGGTCTTATCTGCCAGGTCCTCTGCAATCTCCTTCATCTGGGTCCCAAATTTTGTGAAATGCTGCTCCAGTGTGGGCTCCTCCTGGGCCTCTGCTTAAATTTATGATAAACATAGTAAGTGCATGAATCTCTCAATTGTTGAGTTGTTTTATGGTTCTTTAGAATGCTCAACAACAATATGGTGCACAAATATAGATGTTTTACCTGTGTGTACAGCAAGTACAAGCATCAGCACGGCTGCAGCCAAGTACAATTTCATCTTGTCGTTTTTTTCCCTGTAACAGAGAAAAGGAATCACTGTTAGAGAGCTAGAAATCTCAGGCATCATAATTTTGACCGATTCGGTGTTAAATTATTTCCTAAGATATTATTTAAACAATTTATGGTTTACGCTAATGTTAATCTTAAAAAAAATAAAAAATAAATAAAAAAAACTTCTGGTTGAACAAGAAGATTTTTTTGTCATTAATCATTTTTGTCATTAATCAAAACAAAGACGTTATTTGCTTTTGAAAACTAAACAATAAACATAAGATTAAAATTTATTACAAAGGTTCTAATGAAGTGTTAAATATATATTTCGCGCTTTTAAAAATATGTTTGCGCATTGTTTGTAAACGTTTAATAGTGTTTTATTTATCTTCCTCTAACATTTACAAAAATATGCTAAATTTTCCAATCATAGCAAGGGATGGCGGCTAGATGTCGCCAATATACTGCGTGTTTGCGCACTGAACCTAATAAAGAAAGGTTATTCTGTCGTTTCAGGTTAAAGCTCTCTAGATTCGCTCTGCTTGAAAAATGACCACAACAAAAATAAGTTTGCGTACCTCTTCGCAGTCCTCGAAAGAATTGGGCTGAGTTTGTGATGTCCCACAGATGGCTTGTCCCTTTATAGGGACACAGAGATGACGTTGTGTAATAACACCACCTCTGACCTATCAAGACCTCCTGCAATCACTCGCTTTCCTCGCGTTCATCTCTCGTTCTCCTTACAGCTTTGCGATGTGGTAAATGACTATAGTAAACATCCTTTAGAGGTAAGTAAACTCCGTTTGCCACAACAGCTGTTTTCACGGAGATTTTCTTTGATTATTCGTTATGAGCTACTTTATTTTACTTCAGTGCCAGTGACCTTTGAAACAACATCTGTCAAAAATAAAACAATGTTATAAAAAAGTGGGTACTTTCTTTATCTGGTACCCTTGCCTTGCATATATGGTACAAAGTCCATTTATTATCATGGATTTTACAGTTGGTTACGTGCTTTTTTCTACATCTACAGTACATGACTCTGAAGGACAAAACAATTGTGTAATATCTCCTCTAGTAAATATACTACAGCATCAGTGTTATGGCATAAAAATACATCATACTTCACTGATACAGTTAATTCTGGTATGTATGCTCAAAACTATTTTTCCTGCTTGTTCAAACTAATCATGACTCTAAAATGAGCTGAATCAACACAATTCCTGAGTTTTTTTGGGACAACTTAATTGTTTTATGTTCAAGCTACTTTCATTTGTAAATTTAATTAAGTTTACTTAATCAGTTTGTGTTGGGATAACAAGAAGGAATTGTGTGGACCTCAGCATGTTTACAGTGTAAAACAGAATTTTTGAGAAGAAATTATTTTTGTTTTCATTTACATTTCATTACTATCTATAAAGAGTTCAATAATGATCATTCATACTGCTTGTTTGACCAGTGACTAAAGAAACTGACCCGTAGCAGACATTGCACATGGCAGCATTTTATACAAATAAAATGCATATTACACCATCCCATGGTATCCCCCTGACCATTCACTTTAGGGTAACACTTTATTTTGATGGTCCATTTGAGTATTAATAGACTGCTTAATATCTGTTGATACTGCTCCTTCAACAGACATTTAACTGTATATAAGAACGTTTAACTGAGTATAAGAACCTTTGCAAGTACATGTCAACAAACCCTAACCCCAACCTAACAGTCTACTTATAATCTAATGAGAATTAGTTGGCATGTAGATGCAATGTAACATAAATTCAACAAACGACCTATCAAAATAAAGTGTGACCCGCTTTAGTGGTCACTTTTTAGGAATCTGCTCCTTTATTAATATACAAAATGATCACTGTCTGTATGCAGGTTTCTTTTTTGATATGGTGAATTATGGATGTCTGAACACACGAGCAAAGAGATTGATAGCCTACTTCTTGAATCTCAGCCTTAGTTTTTCAAAAACATAATTCAACTTTAAAATTATTATTACTGTTGTTATTATTTGTGACTGCGCAATTGTAAGGGTGTATAACTTTGTAGTTGTTTAATGTCATGAGACACTGATTTACTCCACAGTTCTTTAACCTTCCAGCCACATCACAACATGAGATAAAGAGTCTGGATTTGGACTAAAGTAAATTGAAGTTGTTTATCTCTTAGTAGTTTCATAACCTTTATTCCTGCTGTCTACAAACATAGATACATGCAGGATTCTGCTAACTGCATTGAAACCACCTTTGGATTCTAGGTCAGGAGAATCATTAGATGTTATCTTATATTGGCCTATGGTGTCATTTGATTTATTTTAATTAAAGCACTGCATCGTCAATGCTGTACACTATTTTTTGCCATATTCTGTGCTTAAATGTTCAAACACATTAGACATTTATGTAAAGTCCCAGCCATGAAGCTATGAAGGTTTGTGAATTTGAAAGTGGTCATATTGTTTTTGTTTCTACCTAGCAATATTGCCTGCGGTAGATTAAACAGTTAAAATACAAAATTATTTTAGATGAAATTAAAACATTCTATATGCTGTTATTTTAACATTTTGTTCATCAGAGAATCATGAAAATGTAAAAATATTGACAGAATAATGTGATAATCAGAGCAACGTATGGACTTTTTGAAAATAAACGTTTTTGAGGGTCAAATCAACGTTTGATATGAAGACTAAACAATAAATGACAAAGTAATTTATTTAATAAAAAAGCATCTTATAGTAGCATATAATAATTGATCGCACTTTATGTAATTTGCATTTTTACACTTTAAAATAAGGTCAAGAGTTAACATCTTGTCAGCATTGATCTTATGTATTTCCCAATCCAGTGTGGGCACAAAACACACACACAAAATCAGCAGTTCTTGTTGGTCAATGACCTGTTTATTTTTTTTATCACTCAGGTCAGGGAGATTTTTTTTCCTGTTTAATAGATTTTTCTTTATTTTGCAAAATACTTTCTTGTACTATAGTGCATCTATTAAAAGACTTGATCGTGATCGGAAAAGCTGACAGCTTGAAAAGTGTTGAAAGCGTCTAGACTGGAATAAGGGGAAGCGAGGCTCCGTGAGGACATGATGTTTATAGAGGATCACACCAAGAGGCATTGATCTGCAGTTACCTCTGCTCACATCTGACCACTTGCAGTCTGTGGAGGACGGGCCTTCCAGTGTTCCCTTTGTCACTTATCTGCAGGCTTTGCAGAACACTTTAAGACCAAAGCCATTCAAACAGCTCGTCTCACACACACATAATTAGTCACCTGTTGTTCTTTTAGTTTTATGTACTTTGTTAAGTCAACGGCCCTTGGTTTTTCATTTTATGAGTCTAGACAGTGACCTGCTGTGCCATCTCAAGCTTTTTGTTTAACCTTTGTGAGCAAAGCTCTTCCCTAAAAGGGTTTGGAAGAAAAGGCATTAGTAGTTTACAGAATAAAACCAAAATTACCCAAAAATTACACATAACTTTTTATTTTTACCTTAAACTTTTTTCCATAGCTATAAATACAGTATGTGTGTCTGAATGTACAGTATGCCTTTTTGTGACATATCAGGACAAAAATGTGTATGTACGTGTTTTTGTGTCACATTAGGATGCAAATGTGTATAATGACTTGTATAATGACGTGTATAATGATTTTATTTCTGAAAGTAAAACAGCACACAGCTTCATGTAAGGTGTAGGGCAATGAAAATACAGTTTGTACAGTATAGAAACAATGAAAACCTCAAATTCACAAAAACAAACCTGTGTGTAGGTGTGTGTTTGTGTGTATTAACAGTAGTATTTATTCATTTGTTGCCACAGCGGAATTAACTGCCAACTTAGCCAGCATATATTTTACTCAGCATTACTGGGAAACATCCATACACACTCATTCCTACACATACACGACGGACAATTTAGCTTGCCCAATTCACCTGTACCACATGATTTTGGACTGAGGGCGAAACCGGAGCACCAAGAGGAAACCTACGCCAACATAGGGCGAACATGCAAACTCCACACAGAAATGCCAACTGACCCAGCCGGGGCTCAAACTAGCAACCTTCTTGCTGCGAGCCGACTGTGCTACCCACTGCGCCACCGTGCTGCCCCAACAGAAGCATTTATCAAGTAATAAATGTTATTATTATTTTCGTCCTCAGTCTTTATTTACTAAATTGCAATCTCTTTGGCCCTATAAAATATAGTGTGGACAGTTGAGGGCAAGGAGTCCAAACAACTGAAAAACAGTGTTGTGAAAAAAGGGACTTTTTGAAATGGGAGTGTAGCGAAGATTACTAATAAGACTAATAATTCTTAAAATTTGCACAATTTTAGTGTGGGTTTGCTTGTTATTGAGATAAAGTTACTTCTTCGTCTCCTCCTTGATGAAATACACACAGAAGACCGGAGTGTTCTGTTCTGTTCTAAAGCTTTTACATATTATTACATGCCTGACCCTACATTTCAGATCAGATTGTTACTGAAAAGGAATACTGTGGTATTTTGGGATGAGTTAGATTGTTTTATGTTTTAAAATAAGCTTATGCTCATAAATTTTCTTTTAAATACAGTAAACACTGTATTTAAAAATGTATTGCTTTATAAAATACCCCTATTGAAAATCAATTGCAGTTTTGTTATTTAAACTGAATAATTAGCATGATTATCACATTATCCTTTAGCACAGTGCTCAGCATAATTGAGTACACCCCATTTTAAAAAGGGATATTTTTATCCTTCCTCAGTGAATATGGGTAATATATTTTGGTGCATTTAAACAAAACTGATTATATTAAACAGATATATTTATTAAAATAATATTTTAGTCACTAAACAACTTTAGAAGTGGAAAGATAATAAATTTTAAATTATGCCAAAAAAAATACAAACTACAAATTTTCAACAAGTGTACTGTATATTTTTTGTTTCTCTTGATTTGTGCTGTTTTTGAAAAATTGTATTTATTATTTTTATAACATAATATATTTGCACTACTACTTTTTGAATCATTGTTTTACGTTATTTTGTTAGATAAGCTCCATATTTTGCTTCACTACCGAATAAACTAATGTATATGCACAAATAACCATCCTATAGAAAATATCAATTAAAATGAGAGATTTGTGGAGGTGTACTCATAAATGCTGTGCACTGTATTTATGCTTTTTATATAAAACAAACAACAATAAATGCTTATATTTGGTACTTTCTTGTCGTAAAAGAATCTTAAACAGTCAAATCTATCCAAATTGCCACAATATATGAAATGGGGAAATATTTTCAACAATGATAATTGTAAGACTGGATCAAAGATGGTAAAAATTATTTTGTACCAACAACAATGTATCAATATTGAACAGCAAATTTAAGGTTATAAAAAAATATTAGGCTCATGTCACATTGAGGACTAAAGCAAAGATTCTGCAAACTTAGCTTTAAATTACAGAAATACATAGATTATATATGTGTATGTGTGTGTATATATATATATATATATATATATATATATATATATATATATATATATATATATATATATATATATATATATATAATTTATATATAAAACTTAGTTGGAATTTTTTTTCTGGATACCTGATCAATCCAGTATTTGTACAAATTTATATAAAAATTGGTCATTGGTTGTGTGTGCATGTGTATTTACCAGATTTAAGTGTTTGAGTTTTTTTTATCATGCAAAAATTGAGGATTTTTTTTTAATTGACAAACTTTAAACTAACAAATAAAAAAATGTAAAAAATAAATAAATAAATTGTAAAAAGATCTGAGCACAGTGGAGGACAAAATGTGAGTTATGAGAACG